ATACAATTATGTACACATTTCAGAAACTAAAATCAAGTGGATGTTTCAAATAAGGAAATTGTGAGAAAGACTTCAATGATAATCCCCATATCTCAGCTAGAACAATGGCCATTTTGAGGATAACTCTGTTCTCTTCATTCATCATGAACATAATCAGGTCAAAAATGACAGTAAATAATAATAATAATAATAATAATAATAATAATAGCAGCATATAGTATTAGTAAGCCCTGATCTAGCAAAACTTCATTCAGAAACCTTCTGCTATTTCATTAGAGGGACTTAAAGGACCTGAAATATTCAGGTAACTGCTGAAAGCAGTGAAAATCAGTTTGGCTAAATGTTACAGGGCTAGATCATGGAAGGTTCTAAGAAATCACATAGGGTACAGTATCCTGACATTATGTGTATATTATAGAACACTGGCATGATGCATATAGGTTACAGGTATACCCTGGATGGATTCTTAGAGGAGAACGGGTTCAGGACTGTTTACCTCCTCTATGGACTCACTCATTTGTTTACACCGTTATTCCTTACAGTTATTTTTGTGTGTGTGTAGCATGGCATGAAAAGGGTAGGAAGCACTGATATAGGAAACTTGAATCAGACAGTAAGAAACATTGAAAGTCATTGCTAAGAATGAATCAAACTGTTCTAAAAGTATACCTACTAACCTTGGTGAAGCCATAACAATTCACTGAATTACATTAGTAAATTAAATTAAAATTAGGGCCTTTCCCCACTCTTTACCCTTCTCCTATAGGTACTGATACACACCAAGATTCATAAACCTACCCAGACAATGCATCATTAATTAGTAAGTATAGAAATGTGTTACAAATTTGGTTAATAGTACTGTTGACTCTAGAAGGCAGGAATAACATCCTATACTTCTTCAGTGTTCCTCAGTTCCTCAGTGCTCAAGAAATATCTCTTGACTTACAGATAACAGTTTTCCATGGTTGCATAAATAAAAAGAGGGAAAATAAAGCATATAGTTTGTGGGAAATAAAAAATTAGTCTCATTTGTGACTCATTTGCTTTTAGATATTTTTACCTTCTCTTTCAAAGGTATTTAGATTTAAGTTAAATCCTTTTATGCTCATTCCCCATTCTATTCCACATTTTGGGTAAACATTAATTAAGAATGAATGGTCACCATGTTTCCAAGCCAAGAGTGGAAGGGATAGAGAAGGCAGAAAAATATTTGCAAGAGCATCTCAACATGTGTACATCTTTGTGGGATTGAATTCTAAAGGGAAAAGGATTACCTATTATTTGGGACTAAACACACATGAGTCTTAGAAGACCAAAAATTAAAAGCTGGTCATACCAATGTTCAATTTTTTCAAATTAAAAAAAAAAAATTAGACTATGAAAGTGACAACAAAAGAGTCCCTCAAACTACTAATGAAACCGTTATCTGTAATTTATAATTACAGATCATTGCAATTTATAATAAAAACACTAGGTCTGTTTCACCAAAGTGCACATTCTCATTATATGAGTGATCATTAAGCAGCACAAGTCAGAGGAACACTAGCGCTTGGAAGCCTAAAAAATACATCGACAAAGAATTTAAGGCTGTTCTGATGACTAGGTTGAATCGAAGACAATGTAATTCAGATCCCCAAGTGTCCTATGTCCAAATCGGATGATGTCTATAAAAGCTCTCTCTGTTGCTAATAGATACCCTTCCATTCAATGTGTCTTAACTTGGTAAGGGGATTTTTAAGCTTCCCTAAAAGCATATGGCAATGAAACAGCATTTTGCTTTATCCTACACCACCCAAAAACAAAACAATCCAATGGGAGAAGCCACAATCGTGCTGGGAGGTAGAGTTGTCCCATAAGTGGCAGAGAGAGAAGGTTACCTCAAAGGAAAAGAACTCCTGCCCAGATTTGGAACAAATGTTTGCAAGGGAATCTTTCTGAATATAGTTCTTTGAACTAACTCTTCATTTAGAAGAGATATAACTTTATCACAATTTTTCCTCCCTGTTATTTTTACATATAAAAACATTCAACTTTGGAATTTCCTTCTCTCTTCACATGACAGTATGTTATTACACTTTGGTGCAAGAAGGGAAAACTTACCGAGAGTGACTTAAATATAATGCTTGACGATGAATGTCTTCTGGGTCTATTTCTACAGGATTTATTACAGCTAGTTGATCAATAGACCATTTAAATTTCCCTGGAGTCTTAATAAAAGAAAGTGAGCTTATGAGTAAAAGCAAACTAAAATAGTTTATCAAAATGCTAACTAATGTCAACTTCAAAAATAATGTGAATGGTTATAATATAAAAATATCTTACACCTCATATTTTTAAATTTGATTTTACCACTAAATTAAATGGTGAGTGGTAATCAAATCACACTAAATATTTGACTTGACTGTAGCTCTTTTAAAATATCCAATCTTCCCTCTGGGTGATTTTTTAAATTATATAATAATAGGGAAATCATAGCAGAGTATTACAGTATAGAAAATCTATAATTAACACTCATCAGTGATGTCCAAGTAAACGTAAAAATCTCTTAGTTACCAAAGGTCTTTACTTTCAATAAAAATGAACTGAAATTAAAGTCCTAACTACAGAAGTGCCTGCAAAATCTCATAAAATAGTTGACCCTTAAAATAATTATAAATGGTAACCAGTGTTCTCTTTCTGCATTCAACTATCCAACTAAACCAAATTCTTATATCCTAAACTATAATTCACAATATATTTTTCACAAATTCAGGCTTAAAAACCCATGATGCCATACATTCTGGCTTTGAGGATTAAGTTGCAGACATTCCACTATTTTTATTAAGACTAACAGATAACTAAAAATTTAATATGATTCAATTAAAAATGAGGTCAGATTAATGAATCAATATAAACTGTATCATGTTTTTTCGAAGTTGCTTTTTAGTTATCTATCCCATTATACAATCTGCAAGCTATGAATGGTTGACAAAAACCCCAAACAATATAGTATTTCATAAAAATTACATGAAATTCAAATTTCAGTGCCCATAAATAAAGCTTTATTGGAACACGGCCATGTTTATATTTTTATATATTGCCTATGGCCACTTTTGTGATACAAGGCACAGGTAAATAGTGATAACAGCAACCAGATGATCAGCAAAGCCTAAAATGTTCACTGTCTGACTTTTGACAGAAAAAGTCTGCATTAGAGTATAAACTCCTTGACAGTTTGTGTCTAACGACCTTAACTCGTTCACAGTGTAACCTCTATGCCTAGCACTGTATCTGGCACATAGCAGTATTCAAATAATGTTTGCTGAGTAAATGAGTGGATAATTAGGTGGCATAGCTTCTTCTCTAATATGGTATTAATAGCTATATATCAACTATAGACAGCACAATTGCAGGAAGCTAACGTTATCTATTAAATAGAAAAAGAGAAATGCTGACTAAAAAGATCTTCTAGCTAACTTGTTTTTAGCCCAACCACTAGATTATAATGAACATTACAATTAAAAAAGCACATTCCAAGTGATATATGCTCCATGGTAAATTTCCCCTTGCTTTGTAAAAAAATATATTTATATTTAAAATTATTTGTACATACTAGTCAAGAATAACTTACTGGTAGTCTCGTTGATTTAAAAACAGAAGGACTAGAGACAGTTTGTTCATGGAGATTAGAATAATCACTAGGGCTTTCAAAAGGATTTAAAACAGAGATCCTTCCTGGAGTTTCCGGTGTTATTTGCATTTTTGTTTCTTTGACGTCTCCCATAGCACAGAGAAAAAAACTAAAGAGATCAGAAGTATATATAATAAACCCACAAAGTTCCATAAACATTCATTTTGACAATTAAAATGTATTCAACAATCATTTCACAAAAATTTACCAAAAAGCATCACATACATTTTTTTCAAGGGATCCCCCAAGTAATCTTGAAAATTAGAGACGTAGGGTATTGGTGATATTTTATAGAATTAACAAGTGGTATCTAAGTAGCAGTTAACCAAATGCGAATGAGTTCAGGTCTGTTTTCACCCAGGCTACTAAATGTTACACTAGGCACACAATTCCTTCCAACTATCCAACTAGAGGACTTGCACCTACAGCTTTTCATTCATTATATCAAATCTTTAAACACTTCGGACATCTTTTGGATATCCCAGCAATTCCCCCATCTAGCTGCAGTTACTAAACCACAGTTATTTACAGCAAGCAAGGGACGATGAAGCTTGTGCAGGCGTGCCTTTCTGGAAAATTAGCCCCCGTCAAGAATGACTGATTAGGCAATGGAAATTAACCGCCTTCGGTTGCCTCTCCTCGAATATCCTCCTTCCACTAAGAACCCCGGGGGTAGAAGGCGAGACTGCAGTACTTCAATCGAAGGGGGCTGCAACGAGAGAAAAATAAGTATCCACTTCTTGGAGGGTTGAAGTGCAGCTGGCTTCCTTGGGTAAAGGGCAGAGGACACTCAGGCCTGTGTCACCTCCATACCACGCTATCACTCTCTCTTGGTGTCTCCCCTTCGGTACTCACTCCCTCGTTGCTCCCATTCATCCCCAGGGCTAGCGGGCACGCGGGTCCAAAGCCGGAAAAAGCGAGCTCTCCAATTCGAGACAGGAGAAAAGCCAGGAACTAGAAAGAACGTACCTAACGGTGTGTATAAAAAGGAAGTCCCCCAAAGGCGACTCCAGCGCTCCGCAGGGGGCAAGCCTGCTCCCACAACAGGCACAGACTCTTTAACTCCCCGCTTCCGCGCTGTCTTAGGCCAACCAGGGCACGGGGCTTCTGGGGGATTGGCCAATCGCGTCGCACCGCTGTCCGCGAACCAGCCAATGGCATCGAGGCGGCGTAGTAAATTCGAATGCCAACTTCACGCTCCACATTCCGCGCTGAATAACGACGCTCCAAATTCAAATCAATCCAGCTTCAAGCCGGCGACGAGCGCGAGGGCGGAGCCTGCCCGGCGAGAGCCGAGGACGCGAGGTGTGATTGCCCAGGAGACAGGAAGGCGCTCCACTTCCGGGTCAGACCCTTGTCCCGCCTACCTCGGCCTCAGCCATGGCGAGTAGTAGCGGTGCCGGGGCAACGGCGGCGGCAGGGGCGACGAATCTGAATGCGGTGAGGGAAACCATGGACGGTGAGTGCTCGTTTCACCCCCTTTACCTCGCTTCCGTTTGACAAAGCCAGGGCCCCCCGGCGGAGTGAGTCCAGGAGGACTTGAGATCCACTTCCCGCTCCTTACCGCATCCTTGAAAAGCCTCCCGAGGGACCCGCCGGGGCCGTTTGGCCGGTGGCCCCATCTTTGGAGAGTTGTCTCCCGCGTAGTTTGTCGCGTGCACGGCGCCTCGGCCCCTACGTTAGTCCACCGCGCGCCGGGTCCCTGCTGCGCTGGACCCTGTGCGCCCCCCGCCTCCCCGCGCTCGCCCTGCGCGCCACGCCGCTCTCCCGCGCCCGGTCCCCAAGTCCTTTCCTTGCGTGCCCGACTCGCGTGCCGCGCCCCCCGCACCCGGCCCCTCCGCGTCCCACCTGCAGCGGCGTCCGAGCCGGGAGCAAGACTGTACAGCCCTCCTGGCTAAGCCCCGCGCGGGCCGTGGCCGTGAGTGGCCACTGCTATATTTTTGTCCTTGGCGCTTGCGTAGGCGCTTTCACAGTAGCCGGTGAATGAACAAGTCGCTCCTTCATCAGAATTGCTTCAGTTTTGCCGCGGAGAGGGTGACACCGGTGTCCCGGGGCTGTGGGTGTATTAATCTCATTTCGCAGCCGGAGGCATGAGGGTTAAAGCCCACCCAGGTAGTACGCAACGAAAAGCGCGTGTTAGAGTTACCCTCTTTCTGCCCTCCTGTGCCGGCTCTACCGCTTTATACCTCTGGTAGTGAGATTGGGCAAGCTACTTAAACGTCTTTGAGCCTGCCCCTATATATATATATATTTTTTTTTTTTCTAAAATAAGGTCAGCTCCTAGGGTTATATCCGGAATATTTAAGATAACCAGGTAAGGGGATGTCGAAGGTGATCGTTAAAAGATACTGTATTATTATTATTAGTTTTTAGTTTTCTCCTATTTCTCTTTAAATGTTTTATTAGCAGTATTTGCTTAAATGACTTTTGGGATCTATTACTTAATCATATCTTGTTCTCTTTATTTGTTGCTGTATTTATTGACTTAGAGTGATACATTTCCCGATTCTGTATTTTGTGTAATAGATGTCATCCCACCTGGAGATGTCTTTGGCTCCGTCTCCACTTTATTCGTTTCCACCTATGTGAGTGTTTGATGAATGTTAAACATTGCTTTTTGCATTTTCCAGGGGATACCCACATCAGCCTCTGTCTCTGAAAACATGACCTCATGGAATTCTTACCAGGCACTGTCAGCCTTCATGCCACATTCACTGTAGTCACCACTTCCTGTGACATCTCTTTATGGGACTTGAGATAAGACTTCTCTTTTTCTGCACCAGCTGCCGTTTTCCTTTTCAAATAATTATTTATATTATTACAACCTTTTCATCTAATTTTTTTATTTATCAAGTATCTGCCTTTCTGTTTTTCTGACAAATAGAATTTTTTCAACACCATATTCAGCCTATTTTCCCATCATTCTTTATGAATCTACAGCTTATTTTATTTTGTAAGTGGACTTAGGTACATACAAACTGTGTGTATATGACGTTGTTGTCTTATCTTTGCTTGGAAGCCAGTGTGTGTTTTGAACAGGTTGGAGAGTATGAGGCCTCACTTCCAGTCAGTTTTGTTATTTTAGCTGTGCTTAGGTTCCTTAATTATATGGCCACAAGATGCCATTTGAATAGAATATTTTCATTTTATCTATGATGGAATTATTGATGTAAAAATTAGAACTGATAGTATTGGTTGCATCAAGATTTTTATTGGGAAAACTTTGTGTAAAATGAAGATTATAGGAATGGAAGAACATGAAAAAGTGAAGAAAGGCCAGATTTTTAAAAAATACCCACAAATTAGAGGAGAGAAAGGATGGATTAGAAAACACTGCTCCTCTACACATGATTTGTCCACAAATCAGAATGTAAAAAGAAAGGCCCCAGGTTGGCAGTAGATCAACATTTGTTAAATGTGACAGATACTTTCTTGTCCATTAGAAATCTAAACTTACATAAAATTTCTGCTATCATGCCATAATTGGGTCCAAGACAGTCCATTCCCAAAATATGTGAAGTTGAATTATTGCAAAGTCACTGAAAAACACTGAAATATTTTCCATGCCATCTATAATGCTTGAGGCACAAAGGAAAGCACAGTGACTCTTGCACTGTAAATAATTGACCATACAGTGAACTGGAAAAGTCCTAAATGCATTCATTTTATAATCTCCTCTTCTACTCACATTCTCAGAAATTAAACTTCAGTTTGCCCAAGAGGCTGGGCTGACTTACTCAAGCATCATCATTATTTCTGATAGTGGGGGAATTTCACTTGTATTTAAATCTATCCATGAGAGCCAAGCTGAAGTGGTCAAAACTTTTAAGTTTGACTCTATCCTCCTTCAAGATGTAGTATTTTTCCTTATTCTCTTACTCCCTCCCATCAGTATTAGTCAGCTAACAGTGATTTAATTTTTAATGGGTGCTTTTAGGTAGGAGGAAGCTGTGGATTTTGTTATTTATCTGCACAGATCCCTCTGAAAGGAGCCTGATTGATCATAGGTCTTGATTTAGTGTAAGGTATATTGCATAAAATCATCTACTCTTAGATCCTCAACATTTTCTTCCTACATTCCCTCTTTAAAATGTCAGGCTCTTTCAGCTACTCACTCTCTCCTGTGTACTCAGTTGCCTCTTTTGCTTATTAACATTTTGAAATTTTAGATACTCTGTTGATAGCTTCATACTTTAATTCTTATATTCTAGAATTTTCCTTATGTTCTAATTTCTTACTACTAGTAATTACATACCTCTCCCTTACTAGAGGCTTCAGTGTAAAACTAGTTTATGTACCAGATAGGTAGAAAAAGGAGTTGAGAGAGTCCAGAGTGTATAAGGTATTGTCACTGAAACAAATGTATAGTCAATGCCTGATACCACCATCAATCTAGTTGCTTTTGTGAGAAAGAAACCTGAGTCAGTTTTGCTTTCTCTCACCTCCCCTACCTCCTATTCTTTACTAAGCTCTTCCAATTCTTCACTGATCTCAGATTTGACCACTTGTCTTAATCTCTCCTATCCATGCCATCTACCAGTCTTTCACCAAAATAGAGTAACTTAGCTGGTCTCTTTCTTCATTCAGTACTAGGCAGCAAAAGTCTTGTAAAAATGGAGATCTGATCTTGTCACACTCCCGTTTTATACCTTCTAATTAGCTTCCTAAAGATGTGAAATCTTCAGTTGGGCCATAGATTTTCATGTCTTCTTTATCTCATATTTTACATATATTATAGCCTTTAATTACATTGCATTTACATGAGCCTTTCACATCATTTTAATTTACCAAATTTCTCCCCAGCGTAAGCTGTTTTCTTGGCCCCCATCTTTGCCTTTCCTCCTGCCTTTGCATTAGTCAAGTTAACTTCTGTACACCCTTGAAGTTAATGCTTAATTGTCACTTCCTCAGATATGTGTCTTTTCTAAACATGTGTCTTTCACAGCTAGGTAAGAGGCCCTTGTAATTTGTTTTGGAAGTATATTATTTTCCTTAATCATAACTGAAATCAGTTATTTTAATATCTGTCTTTTCTCTTAGACTATAATGTCCATGAGAACTGGAACCATATCTATCTTGTTCACAATTACATTTTCAACGATAGCATGGTAGACACAATTCATATAGGTACCAGCTACACAGTGGACACTACAGAAAAACTTAGTAATTACAGACAGTTTGTGAAGTTAGGAAGTAAAGATCAATGTGCATTGTAAAAGAAAGCTTAAAGGAAGAAATACAGATACTGAGTAGAATTTTATGAAGGGAAGAGAAAAGCATAAACAAAGGCATGAATTCAGGAATAAGCACAGCATTTATATATAAGAATCTACCTTGAAGAAAAACGAGAGAATTTATCAGGAACAGTTAATGACGATGGTGATGATGTTGGAGAATTGGAATATGGTCAGAATATGTGTTCTGGTTATCTGTTGCTGCATAACAAGCTACTCCAAACTTATGGCATAAAACAACAAAAATTACTTATCTCTCACAGTTCTGACTGTTGACCAGGCTCATCTAAGAAGTTGCACTGTGGGTGTCTCATGAATTGCAGTTGGACAGTACTGAGTCTGGTGTCTTCTCAAAGTTTCGTCTCACATGACTACTAGTTGATGCAGGCTGTTAGTGGGGCTCTCAACAGGGTCTGTTATATAGAACATGTATATTTTCTCACACTTGGAGGCTGAGTTCCAAGGGAGAGTGTCTCAGGAGAGAGCAAGGAGGAAGCTGTATTGCATTTTTAAACCTGGTTATGCAGTGACACTATTGAAAGAGAGAGTCTTCCAGAGCCCTGAGCATACCTACATTTTCTTGCTCTGTATGCCAAAAATACAAAGCCCTGGCTCCTCTTTCCTCCTGCTGCTTCTCAGGATCGTGTTCACAATGAGTAGCAGTGAGAGATGCGGTAACATCTACCTCCAGATGAAGAGCAGGCTTGTTACTTACTGTAACAGTAGGGATTTCCTAAGCTCAGTGTTCTTCAGCTGTCAATATGGTTTGTCAATATAATGTATTACCTCACTAAGTCAAAGAAGAAAAGCTACTTGCTCATTTGAGTGGTTGATGAAAAGGTGTTGATAAGACGATGTCAACCTTTTTTCATGGTTTTAAATTCTTAGCAAAACAGTACATTTAGAACATACTAAAAAGGATAGCTATATGAAACCAACATCATCCTTAACATTAATGTTAAATGCATTCTAAATAAAATTGGAAGTACTTGCCAATTTTAAGGTGGCTGACTACAAATAAAAAAAGTAATTTTCTAGCGTATTAGCATGAATCACTTAGAATATGCAAGAGTGAGACAGAATCCATTTATGAAAACAGCCAAAACTAAAAATTAAAGAAATTGATGATTCACTATCAAAATTGAGGATAATTGAGCACTGGCTGATACTTTCTGCACCAAGCTTATAAAAGTGACAGGAAATGATGTTAAAATACAATTATCAGCATAGCCATTTTATTTATTTTATTTTTTAACTTTATTGTTGAATGTATTACAGATATATTCCCCCTTTTTCTTACATTGACCCCCTCTTCCTGCTTTCCCCACACTATTGTCTGTGTCCCTTGGTTATGCATATATGTATGTATGTGTGTGTGTGTGTGTGTGTGTGTATAAATAAAAGTTTTTTGGTTTATCTCTTCCCACCCCCACTTCCCTTTGATGTTCATCAGTCTAACAACCAATTTTTACTTAATACCTTCACATTTTATGCCCTGCCCCTAAACCCCCTCCCATCTGGCAACCAACAAAAAATTCTCTGTGTCTATTAGTCTATTTATGTTTTGCTTGTTCATTTTGTTTATAGACTCAATCTTTGATAGATATGCATTTATTACCATTTTATTGTTCATATTTTTTACCTTCTTCAAGAAGACCCTTCATCATTTTGTATAATACTGGTTTGGTGGTGATGAAGTTCTTTAGCTTTTTCTTCTCTTGGAAACTGTATGTCCATCGATTCTAAATGATAGCTTTGCAGGATATAGCAATCTTGATTGTAGGTCCTTGCTTGTCATCACTGAATATTTCTTGACACTCCTGGCCTACAAAGTTTCTTTTGAGAAATCAGCTGACAGTCTTATGGGAGCTCCTTTATAGGTAATTATCTGCTTTTGTCTTACTGCTTTTAAGATTCTCTTTGTCTTTAACCTTTGGCATTTTGATTGTGATGTGTGGGTGTGGGCCTCTTGGGGTTCATCTGGTTTGACTCTGTGCTTCCTGGACTTGTATGTTTCCTTCACGTTAGGGAAGTTAGCATAGCTATGTTTAAAAATAGGAAAGAAGTCTTTGTGGATTAGAGAGAAGTCTCCTTGTCCCCCAAGAAAGGAGTAGATGGGAACTACAGCAGGGGATTGGTAATGAAACCTCACAAAGCATGCCGCCCTGTCTGAGTGAAGCTAGTGGCCAGAAAGATGTCATCTGACCTGGCTAGGGATTGAGAATCACCATCCATGTGTCTTATGTGTCTGGAGCCAGGATGCTTCCACAAAGCCTGATGAAGAGGGTTGAGGTCAGTGTGATACTACTCATTCAAGAACTTATCACCTATTCAGAACATCCAAGAAAATCTGTAAATGAGCTTTCAGCCAAAAATCACAAAGTACCTACAGTAGAAGAAAAACATAAATATAACAACTAACATAAAATTGGGAGGGGGTGTTATTGAGCACTACCATATGCCAAACACCATTCTAACTGTATCCTTTCATCCTCACAGCAGTCCTATAAGTATTATGATTTTCCCCGTTTTACAGAATGGTGAAATAAAGGCACGGAGGGGTTACCTTGCCTAATGAGTAATGAAAGTAGAATTTCAACCCAGGTAGTCTGGCTCTGGAGAGCACACTCTTAACCACTCTCTTTTTGCTGCTTGCTTATACTCAAAGAAATGGAAATCTCAAAAATGGCTTATGAAAAGACTATTACCTTAAACAGATAAAAGCAGAAACAACAGCCAGAAAATAAGAGCTGGTTATGAATAAGCATTTAGCTTTGAAATAAGAACAAGCAATTGTGGTTGGAAATTAGAAATGTTAAAATAGAGTTATCGAAATAAATTCAGTAGGTAGCATGAATAACAGCCTGAATTCAACTGAAGAGTGAAGTATGTTGGAGTATCAAAACTGAAGAAATGAAAATGGGAACAGGCTGTCAGCTTTCAGCCAAGATGGAATAACAGGAGCTGAATTAACCCTTCTGCCTGAAATAACAACAACAACAAAAAAACTGAGTCAAAACATACAAAGTAATGGCTTTCATTTCACTGGACATCAGGCAGCAAAGGACGGTGATCTCCAAGAGACAGGAAACAAGTAAAGTGAGCCAGATAGTTGCCCCAGCTTACTGCCTTCAGAGAGTTTCCAGACCACGCCGTAGTGCGGGGCAGGCAGGAACCAGATGGAACCCAGTGGACACCCGACTGAGCAGCTGGAGCTGAGTCCAGGGAGCCCACAGCAGGAAGAGCTTGTAGGACAGAGTGCCTGAGAGGAGAGCTGCACCCAGAGAGGGTTCTTTCTGGTGGTCTGCAGCAGTTCTCCCTCAGGTGTTCCACAGAGCATTGCATAGCACGTGTGTGAAAGGAAACACCCCAAAAGCTGGGAAAGAACCATTCAAAAGTACTAGAGGGAACAGTATACCATGCTCACACAGGAATGAGAACAATGCCTGTATCTATCAACCAGAATAGAAAACTTCATAATTCATATGACTTTGTGTAGAGGACTCAGGAGGGTCTTACCTCAGTGATGGGGAATAATTAGCCCTACATTTAAATAGGGTTCTAGTCCTGACTAATAAATCTTTTTTTTTAATCCTCACCCGAGGACATTTTTCCATTTTTTGTTCAGGTAGAGTGGGAGAGAGAGAGGAACAGAGAGAGAGAGAGAAACATCGATGCGAAAGGAACACATCGAGTGGCTGCCACCCGCACAACCGACCAGGGCTGGGGACAAACTGCAACCGAGGTACGCGCCCTTAGCAGAACCGAACCCGGGTCTCTCAGGACCGCAGGCCGACGCTCTAACCGCTGAGCCAAACCGGCCAGGGCCTGACTAATAAATCTTAAAAGCCCCAAAGAATCAAGCTGTTTCCAGATAACTGCACCTCATTACAAAGCTCAGAATACGTATGGAAATAGAAAAATATCCAGCAGCCAACAAGATAAAATTCACAGTGTCTGGCATCCAATAAAAGTTAAGTATGCAACACAGGGAAATACAACCCAAGATGAGGAGAAAAATTTAGTCAGTTGGAGCATACCCAGAATTGCCACAGATGTTAGGATTAGCTGACAGAGACATTAGAACTGTACTCCATGTGTTCAAGAGTTAACTAGAAGCATGGAAGACATATTTTTAAAAAATACTCAAATTGAACTTACAGAGATGAAAATGAATGTCAGATAAGAAAAATTGGGAAAAGCCCATCTCATGAACATCATGAATACTATAAAAGTTTTTGAGAGGACTTAAGTTAATAGGTGATTTAATATCATTAATTTGTCTATTTGTCCCAAAGTAATATATAGTTTTCATGCCATTCAAATCAGAATCCAAACGGAATTGATTAGTACTTCTAAATTCATGGAGAGAATGAAAGGGTTTATGATAGTAAAAGGTAACAGGTTCTTTAACCCACTACATGCAATATAAAGTTAATAATTAAAATTGTGGCTCTGATACAAGATACACATGCAACAATTCCATAGGTATATGGGAACTTACTACATGATGATGGTGACATCTTAAGTGGTGGTAGAGGATAGATCGTTCAATAAATAATATTGGACAAACTGACATTTCTGAAAGGAAAAGTTAGAGATTCTATTTTCTACCTAAACTCTAGGGAGTTAAATATTTAAGTATTTATGGAGGGGGAAGAAAATAGGGTTTCAAGTGCTAGAAGAGAATAATGGTAAGTAATTATATAGTCTTTGCATAGGGAATAACTTTCTAAGCATAATACCAAGGGAAAATGATGTAGGAAAACAACAGATAACACATTAACCATTGACTTAAAATATTCTAAAAACAAAGTTTAATGTGGCCAATGTATTTGCTTCCTGTGGTTCTCTATGATGGTGTTTGTCATGTGAAAGACAGATACTTTTATAAACTATAATAAAATGAAGTACTATAAAAATAAAGTTAAAAAATAAGCTTTCATTTTTATTCTTAGATTCAACAAACATGAATACTCTGTCAAATTATATAAAAGTTTCTAAATATTTTTAAAGCCTTAAATATGTATATTACTGACTAAGCAGCTGCACTTCTAGGAATTTATCCTAATAAAATTAAGTTGAGTTAGTATGTACAGATGCTTACCACAGTGTGATTTTAATGGGGGACAACATGAGAGCTACCTAACTCTTAAAATAGAGTGGTTAAGAACTGTGTAGTATTTCCATAAAATGTAATGTTATGTGACTGACTAAATTACATTGTAAAATAATAAAAAAAGTGGAGAAATGTGTAGAATAATCCTGATTATGATGCATACATTTTAGATAGATATTAAATGGGTGGTAGAATAAAAATCGAGATGTAAAAGTCAATTGTGTGCAGGGAGGTTGTAAGTTTGTTTTGAAGTTTCTAGAGCTAAATAAGGGCAAGACAGTATTACATGCCTATTTCCAGTGTAAGGATGCTATGCTAGTTCTTTATTTGCAGCGTTATACAATTTTTTTTTTTAAGTATTATGTGCATGTTTGAAAATCTAAAATTTTGTCGTAAAATTTTTCATTTTTCAGTTCTGCTCGAGATTTCAAGAATTTTGAATACTGGGTTAGATATGGAGACTCTCTCTATTTGTGTACGGCTTTGTGAACAAGGAATTAACCCAGAAGCTTTATCGTCAGTTATTAAGGAACTTCGCAAGGCCACTGAAGCACTGAAGGTAGAGATTCAGTTGTTAGTTCATTCTAAATAAAGATGCTTTTGTTTAGAAAATGGTTAATGAAGTTACATGGAAGATCTTAAACATGATTAAAGTAATTTCTATTACCATCAGAAGAAATTCTGAAGACCAGAAGCTTAGTAGCATATGTTCAGATTATAAAACTCACAACTATCATGGACCATATTGTTTCTTTCCTGAGAGTCTTCAGCTGTGTTTAGAGTTTTCCCTGTGTTGTAGATAAAATTATGTCTGCCAGAAATAACATATGCTTAGGTCCAGTACCTATGAGTATGACCTTATTTGGAAACAATATATCTGTAGGTGTAATCAAATTAAGATGAGATCACAATACATTAATGATGTATGTTCTTATGAGATGAGGGACATTTACACACAGATACATAGAGTACCATGTGAAGGCAGAGATTAGAGTGATGACATGTACAGGCCAAAAAAGGCCAAGGATTATTGGCAGCCACCAAAAGCAAGGATGGATTCTTTGCTAGAGCCTTCAGAGAGTGGGTGGCCCTGCTGACACCTTGATTTTTGGACTTGTGCCTCCAGAACAGTGAGAGAGTACATTTCTTTTTTTTTTTTATCCTCACCGGAGGATATTTTTCCATTTTTTGTACAGATAGAGTGGGAAGGAGAGAGAGGAAGGGAGAGAGAGAGAGAAACATCGATGTGAAGGGACACATCGAGTGGCTGCCACCCGCACAACCAACCAGGGCCAGGGACAAACTGCAACCGAAGTATGTGCCCTTAGCGGGAACCGAACCCGGGTCTCTCCGGACCGCAGGCCGAGGCTCTAACCGCTGAGCCAAACTGGCCAGGGTGAGAGAGTACATTTCTATTGTTTTACCCAGTTGAGGTACTTTATTATGGCAGTCTTACAAATCTAACACAGGTTTATTGCTGGGAAGTGGAGTGCTTTTGTAAGAAACTCTTAAAAATGTAGAAGTGGCTTTGGAATTGGATAATGAATAGAGATTGGAAGGTTTTAATGCATTTGATAGAGCCTAGATTGTCTTGAAGAGACAGTTGGTAGAACTATGGATATTAAAGGCAATTCTGGTGAGGGTTCAGAAACAGGAGAGCTGTAGAGAAACCTTTAATCATTTTAGAGAATACATGTGTCATTATGAACAGAATCATACAAGGAATATGGGCACTAGTGCTTCTGGTGAGGTCTCAGACAGAAATGACGAACATGTTGTTATTGGGCACTGGAGGAAAGACTATCCTTGCTATAAAGTGAAGGAGCGCTGACTGAATTATGTTCTATACTGTTGGAAGGGAAGTAAAACTTGTAAGTGATGAACTTGGATATTTAGCTGAGGGAATTTCCAAAGTGTGGAATGTGCAGCTTGATACCTTCTTGCTGCTTAAAATAAAATGTAAAAGGATTGAGAAATTGGGGAGGGAATGACTAAGCAAAAAAAAAAGGAATCTGCACTTGCTTTGGAAAATTCTTAGCCTGTTCAGATAGCACATTCTGGAGTGAAGGACAGGAGTGTGGTTGGGGAACCTTTTGGTGTAGAGATTAGGTGTATGGTTCATGGATGCAGTCAGCCATCTCAGCACAAAACTGCCAGCTTGGACTGAAAGGGACCTGTACAGTACAAAATGAAGGAAGGCTGTCAGACTCCTGGCATTCCTCAGGCTGGAAATTGGCTGAGAGCTAACTAGCTGTGAACATGAATTTATCCTTCAAGAAAAGGGGAAGAATGACTTGGGGCTCAGAGACCAGGGAACTGCTGAAGGTAATTGGGATGCACTACCAACATGGGCCCCGAGGACTATTTTTTGAATTCAAATTTAGCACCTTTTAATTGCTGAGATTGGAACAGCAAAAGAGTTCCCTCTCTTGCTTACACACGCTCTGATTTAAAATCTCAGGTGATTTTATTTTCATGTTTATATAGCACTAACTCACCATGCAAAAATACTGAAGTTTCCAGTTAGCCCTGTTTAAAACTTTCAAGGACAAAGTGGCGTTTTTTTAGGTTTATTTCTTTTCTTTGAGGAAATAGAATTATTTAAAACAAGTAGCTTACCCATATCAGATTAAGTTATTCTCCAGTAGGTTCCAGTGATTTGGGTTGTTGGCTTTATGCTTTTAAACTTTTTGATTGCCCTGGCCGGTTTGGTTAGTGGTTAGAGCGTCAGCCTGCAGACCAGAGAGTCCTGGGTTTGGTTCCCGCTAAGGGCACGTACCTTGGTTGCAGTTTGTTCTGGCCCTGGGTTGGGTTTGTGTGGGTGGCAGCCAGTCGAAGTGTGTCTCTCATCAATGTTTCTTTCTCTCTCTCTTCCTCACTCCCTCTCTCCCACTCTATCTGAAGATAAATGCAAAAATGTCCTCGGGTGAGGATAAAAAAACACACACACAACTTTTTGATTATTAATGTAACACAAAAGGTAAACAAAACATTTCCAGAGCATTTCTCATAAAGAGAATATCTATGCAACTCTCATTGCCAGCACTGTGGAAGTCCCCCTAAGCTCCCCCAATCACTGACCTCGCCTTCCTGCTTCCCCCTCGTAGTAACTACTGTTCTGGTTTAACAGTTATATCGACTAAGCATGGATCTCTAAACACTGCAGTTTAATTCTATAAAATTTTTCAACTTGATATATATGGAATCTTATAGCACAGTCCTTTTTTACTAGGTTCTTTCATTTAACATGTTTGAGGTTTATTTATGTTGTGTGTAGCTGTAATGCATTTCTTTTCACTATAATAATGATGTTTCATTGTACATATATACTATAACTTACTTATCTTTTCTACTGTGAATGTATATTAGGTTGCATCCAGGTAGAGATTTTTGTATTGTAATGCAGTTTGAGTTCTATAAAGGAACTGGAGGCAAATAACCTAGCTAAAATGAATGTGCAAGAGAGACTGACAGAAGTATTTTGGCATAGCATTTTCGTAGACAAAATAAAAACCAAGATAGTAGGATAGGAGATTCAGAACCACCTAAATAGTGTAGCTTTTGCCATTTTGAGCATACTGGTTATTTCACATCTCGTGGACCATAGTCTGATAGGAAGGTAAAATCAATAATTAAGTTGAACAAGTCAGAAAATGTTGCCCATTTGAATGGAAGATCAGTCTCACGCATACACAAAGCCTTTTAAAACACTTGTCTACCTACCATAATCTAAAACCAGAACACCAGTATCTCATTAAAACTAGGTGGGGCCCAGCTGGTGTGGCTCAGTGGTTGAGCATGGATCCATGTACCAAGAGGTCACTGGTTCGATTCCTGGTCAGGGCACATGCCCAGGTGGCCAATCGATGTTCTCTCTATGTTTCTGTCTCTCCGTCTTCCTTACTCTCTCTAAAATCAATAAAGGAAAAAAAACTAGGCGGGGAGGAGATCCTAGAAAGTTTCCAGCAAAGAAGAAATACTAATTTCAGGATCAACCACGAGTTCATTGTTACATTTTGTTCTTTTTCCTCTAGCTTTAGCATAATAAAAATCAAGGCAAGACCTGCTTTTCTGTATCTTCTACTTTGTGCTTTGGTCCTTGAATTAAACTCTCATTGATGAATTCCTATGCACTAAGCCCCCTTTTATTTTTTTATTTTTTTGGTACGTGCCCCTAGCGGGAACCGAACCTGTGACTCTCTGGTCCACAGGCCAACGCTCCAACCACTGAGCCAAACCGGCCAGGGCTAAACCCCCTTTTCTTTAACCTTTTCATCTTATACCCCACCCCTTTTCACACTATAATAAAACATGCAGAAACAGACAAACTAATAAAGACTCTGTGGATAAGATCTATAGGTTAATTTCTCAAGTAGCGGTATATTTTTACAATTACTGTATTGTTTAAATAATTTTCTACTATTAGCCTAGCAATCAATTTAAAAGGTAGTTCTAATATACTGCAAAAAATGAAAACTACTGCATTATCCTGATAAAACTAGTTTGGTACATGTTGGGGAGGATTTGTTTGTTAATGACAGTTTGGTATTGACAAATTTATTTCCATGCTGTCTCTTTTTCCATGGTTTTATTATAATGAATTTTACTTTCTTGTTATAGGCTGCTGAAAATATGACAAGCTGACTTTCTGGAGAAATCCTAATGAGATGTCAAGCTCTGCAAGAGGATTTGGAGATTGCATTGTAGTCAGGAATGTACAATGAAATTACTACATCAGCAGTGTAGCAACATTTTTCTTTTTAAAAGAATTATAAAACTATAGCTTTATAAATTAATGAATAGTGGCTTACAGAAAGGACTATCAGATGTGTTTACGTCACATCTTACTTTTTAAAACCCCTAATGCTTTGGCATTACAGTGTTCATATTTATTCCTTATTTATAGATCTGATAGCTTTAATTTTCTAAGCAGTCTGTCTATCAGATGTGCACATCTGCTGTGCCTGTTTATAGTATAGTGAAACCCATTAGTAGTAATATAGTAGTTATGACTTGCTGACATTTCCATTATAAACTTTAATTTTAAATTGTTTATGCAAAATAACTAGATTTATGTTGCATTGGGCTGAAAGTTGACAGAATTTCAACCACCATTTGTGAAGTTTGATTTAGATTCATTATGTATATCAGAATCTTGTTTTTTTTAAGAGCACAAAAAACATTTGTTCTAATTTGATCTTTAACAAAGAATATATAATTTTTAAACATAAAGTTTGTCTGGCAGTTAATAGTGTGAACCAGATCAATTTTGTATTGATTGAAAAATAAAACTTTTAGAAACTTAGATTTTAAAAGTAATGATAGTACTTAGCTTAGTACTATTTGTCAGTTGAATCATGTAATGAGAATATTAATTGAGAGTGTTTTTTTCTCTTAGTTTTATACTCTGAAAATGATGAAACATTTTCAACATGCAAAATTATTTTTACTCTTATTACATAAAAATAATTTCAGTGCTTGCCTAATATGTCTTGAGTGATTATCTAATAACTCAATAGATAGCTAGTGAGTATCTGATCACTAAACAGGAATTGTCATTCAACAAATATGTTACTATTTTTTGAAGGAATAGATTTCCAGTCATTAAATAAAAACTAAGTAATCAAATGTTTCATAATGTCTTTCTAAGATTATTTTTGTGTGTCATTATTTTTACTAAAAAGTTTTAACTAATCAAAATTTGCTTCATAATAAATTTTGATTCTGTTTCTCTAACAGAATCTCAATTCAGTATTTTTCCCAAGACTAATACAAATTCAATCTAATTTTATTTTAGACTTTGTTAGCTTCCATTTAAATGATAGTATAAGCATTTACTCTTTAGTAGCATTTTTTTGTTCTTCAGACAAACTGAAGTGATTTTAGTAAGACTTAGTAATATTTAAATGACAACCTTATACTGTATACTGTTTTAAAAATCTATTCTTTTGAACATTTTGACTTTTTAAGTGGATGACATCTTCACCAATGCACTGGAAGGTCTATTATTGGGAGAATTGTTTGGAAGACAGTAAGAACTTGTGATGATCAGTCATTTATTTGCTAATAATACTGTAAATACTGCATGTTATTTATAAAATTAGAGAACACATTTGTCAAGTTACAAACTTTGTATATACTTTTAGGCCATTAGAGTTAATAGTTTAATTGTTTATGACTTTATAGATTAAGTTATTTATGTATGAACAAAGCAGTAAAATATATTGAGGAGTTATGTTCACAGAGCACTCTAGTATGTTACGTTTCTTAAATGTAAACATATTTTTAATGCATACTTAAATAATATTTAAAGAAACCAAAGTAATGATACAATCACAGTGTTGTGCATGTTGTCGGTGACAAAAATAAAACCATTTTGGTAGTATTGGCATGTACTTTTGATTTAATATATGCTTCTGTAAATTTCAACTTGTGTTTCTGTAGGTATTCTATAAATATTTAGGTGCTTATTAGATATGTGTGATTGAAGACTATTTAAAGGTAGGCTGTATAATTTACAATGTAAAATTAGGCTTGAGGTATAAATGGAAGACCTTTCCCCCGGTAGGGAAAGGATATAGCTGTATTAACATTGCCCCAGGTTTGAAAACATAGTTGGTGTATAAAATATGTGTGAGATTATATTTTTTAAACTTCTAAATGGATATTATAAAATGTACATGTTTTAAACTTAAAAGTTTTTGGTACGTGCCCCTAGCAGGAACCAAACCCTGGCCTCTGGTCAGCAGGCAGACACTCCAACCGCGTCAAACTGGCCAGGGCCAGTTTTTTAACTTATTTAAATTAATTGAAATTAAAAATTCCTCACATTAGCCACATTTTTTATTGTAGTAAAATATACACAAAATGAAACCTATCACTTTAATTGTATAGTTTAGTCACATTAAGAACATTTGCATTATTGTGCAGCCATCACTACTACCCAGATCTTTTTCATCATCCGAGAAACTCTACCCATTAAGCAGGAAGTCCCCATTCTCCCCTCCCAGCCCCAACATTTTTCTGCTTTCTCTCTCTCTGAATTTGACTATTCTAGGTATCTTTTATAAGTGGAATCATAGACTGTCCTTTTGTGTCTTTTATTTCACTTGGCATGATATCCAAGTGAAATCCATGTTATATCATGTATCAGAATTTCATTAGTTTTTAAAGCTGAATAATATTTATTGCATTTTGTTTTATCTATTTATCTGATGATACATTGTTTTTATCTTTGGGCTGTGGTGAATAATGATTTTCTTGGTGATTAGTGATGTGAACATCTTTTCCTATACTTATTGCCTGTTTGTGTATCTTTGGAGAAATATCTTTTCAAGTTCTTTGCCCAAATTTTAATTATTTTTGTTGTTTAGTTCTGGTTGTTCTTCATATATTCTGGGATATTAATTGCTTATTGGATATATGATTTGTAAATATTTTCTTTTATTCGTAAGTTGCTTTTTTACTCTTGATAGTGTACAGCATTCTTCGATGCACACATTTTTAAGAAATTATTTTTATTAATTTGTTTTTGTTACAGATGTTTCTCCTTTTTCCCCCATTGACACCCTCCTCCCCATCCTCCCCCACCCCATCCCCAGCTTTATTGCCTATGTCCATTGGTTATGCATATATGCATATAAGTTCTGTGGTTTATCTCTCCCCCCGCCAACACCTCCTCTTCTGAGGTTTGTCAGTCTGTACCCTACCTCTATGTCTCTGGGTCAGTTTTGTTCATCAGTTTGTTTGGTTCATTATATTCCACAAATAAGTAAAATCATGTGATATTTGTCTTTCTCTGCTTGGCTTGTTTCGCTTAGCATAATACTCTCCAGGTCCCTCCGTGTCATCTTAAAGGGTAAGAGATCTTTCTTACAGCTGCGTAGTACTCCATTGTGTATATGTACCACAGCTTTTTTATCCACTCATCTACTGATGGACACTTGGGCCGTTTCCAGATCTTAGCTATTATAAATAGTGCTGCTATGAACATAGGGGTACATATATTCTTTTTGATTGATGTTTCAGGCTTCTTAGGATATATTTCTAGAAGTGGAAACACTGGGTCAAATGGCAGTTCACTTTTTAACTTTTTGAGATAACACTAGTGTTTTCCATAGTGGCTGCACCCAGTCTGCATTCCCGCCAGCAGTGTACTAGAGTCCCCTTTTCTCCACACCCTCGCCAACACTTGTTTGATGATTTGTTGATGGTGGCCATTCTGACAGGTGTGAAGTGATATTTCATAGTTGTTTTAATTTGCATCTCTCTGATGATTAGTGATGTTGAACATGTTTTCATATGTCTCTTGTCCTGTTTGTCTTGTATGTCCTGTTTGGAGAGGTGTCTATTTAGGTCCTCTACCCCTTTTTTAATTGGGTTCTTTGTCTTTCTTTTGTCAGGTTGTATGAGCACTCTATATATTTTGGAAATTAACCCCTTATCTGATGCATCATTGGCAATCATGGTCTCCTATAAAGTGGGTTCTCTTTCCATTTTGGTGGTTGTTTCTTTTGCTGCGGTGCACATTTTTGAAAGTTTGATGAAGTCTCAGTTATTTACTTTTTTCTGTTGCCTATGCTTTTGGTTTCATAGCAGAGGTGTTGTGTTGACAGCAATAGCTTGATGAAGAACTAGACATGGTGAGACTACAGCTCCCACAGTCTCACCTGAGAAAATGATGGAGCCAGGAAACGACACTGCAAAGTAGTTGGGCTCTGGAGTCAGACTCACCTAATCATCATCTCAGTGACTGGGCGTACTTCTGAGATCCAGTTTCCTCATCTGAAAGGTTGGGAAAATCATCCCTACCTCAGACGGCGAGGATGAAATTGGACTTGGTATATAAAATACTCGGCCAGATACCTGAAATACATTAAATGCTTATTTTTACACGCACACACTGACATCCCACTCCATTAAACACACACACACATTCCTTGAGGTGAGGAATGAAGGGGCTATTTAAGAATTATGCCTTGAGGCTGGGAAAGTAGAGCAAACTAGGTTCCTATGATCGAATGTCTGGTCTCTAGGCAAACTGTGCTTTCACTCTTTTTCCCCTGTGATCTACATAAGTTTATTTACTGTTGACAGTTTAACACCTTTCCCTAGACATAGAGCCAAAATCTTTTTTGTTAATTTTTAATCCTCACCCGAGAATATTTTTCCATTTATCTTCAAGTAGAGTTGGAAGAAGGAAGAGAGAGAGAGAGAAGCATCTATGTGAGAGGGACACATTGAATGGTTGCCTCCCTCATGACTTCGACCAGGGCTGGGGACTAACAGAAACTGAGGTATGTGCCCTTGACCGAAATCGAACCCATGACTCATTGGTCCGTGGGCTGACGCTCTAACCGCTGAGCCAAACCAGCCAGGGCATAGAGCCAAAATTTTTAAAAACTAAGTGACAATTTTGATCTCTTAGGAAATTTAGGGCTGGATGGTGTTTCCCCAAAATTCATGTGTTTTAGTCCTAATCCCCAGTACTTCAGTATGTGACTATATTTAAAGAAAGGGCCTTCAAGGAGATGATTGAGTTCAAATGAGGCTATTAGGGTGAGGCCTAATCCAAACTGACTACTGTCCTTATAAGAAAAGGAAATTTGGACACACACCGGGGATGCATGCACACAGAAGAAAGACCATGTGAGGACAAATGAAAAAGGTGACCAGAGCCCTGGCTGGTGTGTCTCAGTGGTCGGAACAGCAGCAGCCCAAGGACCAAAGAATCTCGGGTTTGATTCCCAGTCAAGGGCACATACCTCAGTTGCTGGTTTGATTTCTGGCCACATTGGGGTCGTGTGAGAGGCAACCAACTGATGTGTCTCTCTCACATCAATGTTTCTCCCACTCTGAAAAAAAAAAAAAAAAAATCAGTGGAAAAATATTTTCAGGTGAGGATTAAAAAGTGACCAAAAAGTATAAGTTGAAAGAAAAGCCTTCCAACACCTTGATCTTGGACTTCTAGTCTCCAGAAAAATAATAAAACTTATATTGGTTTAGCCACTCAGTCTGTAGTATTTTTTGTTTGTTTGTTTTTCTAAAACCTTGATGAGCTGATTCCCAAAGGGGCCGGGGATCAAACCAGCAACTGAGGTATGTGCCCTTGACCAGGAATCCAAGTCGAGACTCTTTGGTCCTTGGGCTGCCGTTCCAAACACAGCCAAACCAGCCAGAGCTGTCTCAACCCACGGTGGTGAAGAGGCACTCTGTGCTAGTTCTACTCAGGAACTCAGCGGAAAATAAATCTCAGACCAGCCAGCCACCTGGGAAACCTGAAATCTGAAAGAATAAATATAATTTTGGGAGATAGTTGTGAAAAAATTTCTTACTTTTGAGGTACATGCTCTTGTAGTTACAAAGATTGACACAATTGAAGGTCACTATTTAAATTAATAGAAATCTTGGGGAAAGTTTGCATTTTATGTGGCAG